GCGCCGCTCATGCAGTCGGTCAAGCAGGGACGGTGGGCAGTAGTGTCAAGGTCGGAAGCAACAGCAGCGCCGAGAGACATGGCGATAAGAGTAGGAGAAACCCAACGCACTTCGCGCTGCATTCAGGGAGGATAGGTGGTGCGACGCAACTAGCAAAGCAGGGCGCATCGGTTATTCAGATTCAGAGGGCGNTGGAAGCGTTCCGGAAATTTCGTGGAAGAGCGGCGAGATAAGTGGTACACGGGGGTATAGCTATATACAGGGTACAAGGAAGAGAGAGAGTTTGGCAGAAGCTTTTGGGATCCTTGGGAAGCCGAGGACCTCGAAGGGAAAAACGTTGCATCGCTCGCAAAGGCAGTGCAGCAAAGCAGCAGCGAGAGAAAAGAGTTTTCGTTTGGGACTTGATCGAATTTTGCTGTGGGGGGGCTGCTTTGAATGCGTATCGACTGCACAGCACACCGTATATCGGGGAACTGTTGAATTACATTTTTTTTGTTTCTCCCATCACTGGACTCTGTCGTCTACCCCTCTGGCCCCTATCCTCCACTTCTACTAGCTAGACGACCCAACCGGGGTCACATGTGTTGTACTAGTTCTACGAACTGGGGGCAGACTCAATTTTTCGGTGCTTAGGCTATATGTACAAGATGCCACACCTCTTGGGATCGATTTTCAAAGCTCGATTTATCAACAGCAGAAAGAGCCACAGGGCCAAAAACGGCGGCGTTCCGTCCGGTCGAGAGCTCTCCGAAAATGCATCATTTCGTTCATGCATCCTCTTCGTCCGTGGAGTAATCGAGAGCTTTGAAGATCGGTCCAAGGGGTGTGTTGTCTGGTGTCACCTACCTGCTGCCGCAGATTCAAATCATCACCTGGAGGAAGACGGCTGCCCCTCTCTCAGAGAACTCCGGGGCGGCTTCGAACACCTTGACGTTCAACCCCTTTTCTTTTAACCCAACGGCTGCGGCAAGTCCAGCAGGGCCACCACCCACAATGGCGAAGTCGAGGACTTTCTGCCCCGAAGCTGCCGTGGTACTTGCGGAAGCTGTCCCTGACGACGCGAAGCCTGTTGAAGGACACTTTCTGACAGCAGCAAGCTGAGCCACAAATCCCTCGGTATCGCCCACCGAAAGCACCACTAGAGAGACCAGTAGCCATGTGCACAAGGCGGGCGCCATGCCACAACTCCGTTACCCTAGGGTGAGAGGGAGCGAGGACGAGTGCTGATCAAGGCGGCGGAATCATGATGAAAGGGATCACACGATCACGCCTCCGCGTTCCGCGTTCCGCATTCCGCCAGTCCCGCGCACCTCAATGTCCCGCCGCACATCTCCGTATTTCCTGGCCATACACCATCGTCTCAGGCCACAGCGCCCACGCCCCAGGCTCCGGCTCCCTCTCTCCCCTCCACGCAGACGCGACAAGGAAGAGGAGAGGTTGAGATCTGGAGACGAAGCAGCCTGGCTCCCTGCATTTTCAGGAGAGCGCCGTGGATGTTGACAGAAAGAAGCGTGATTTGACGTTCATACTCGAATTGCAGCACGCGGACGAACGAGCTGATGGCGATCCCCACATCGAAAGACGAAGGCCTCCTCGAGGATGAGCAAGCCCCTGCTGTCGCTGCTGCGCAAGACCAAGAGCTTGTGGCAGGTAGTGATGTCGGAACGGCTGCTCTGAGCAAGAAGAAGAAAAAGAAGAAGAAAAAGAAGTCTTCGCAGCAACACAACCAGCTCGCGGAAGTCCAGCTTTACGAGACGATCAAGGACCTGGACACCTTCAAGGTCACCGAGGACAGCGTTTCTGGTCGATGTGTGATTGCCTCCAGGGACCTCAAGGCCGGGGAATTGGTCCTGCGCGAACCTCCGTTCGTCAAGGTGCCCTTTTGGTCTCCTTGAGAACGTTGGATGTGAAAGTTAACCAATTGGGGGTCGTGTGCAGTCCTCACGTACTCAAGTGTTTTTTTTTACCGGGGTGATTCGAGCACCAACCGGGTGCGGACGATGCATTGGCGGTTCTGTGAGGCACACATACGAGATGGACACGAGGTCCGTGCCTTTCTTGCCCCGCTGTCTCTCACCTTTTCTCGGCTGTGGCCGCCACGAAATAGGTTGTGCGTCGCGACTGTGCTTCCCGGCAGTGCGCCTACTGCTGTCAGCAAGTCACCGAGCAGGGAAAGATCGAGGCGGATGTGCCGTTCGCGGTGAGTACAATAATCTATATGATAGTCGTCGTCTCGATGATGATCAAAATTTCAGTGCTGAAACCTTTTTCGCCATGAACGCAGCGCGTCCTCCATCCTCGTGTGCGATGTCGAATTTGATGGCAAGAGGGCACGCTTGAGTTGAACACGTGGGGCAAGAAGCAACAGGGTGGGTCGAAACTGGTTGCATACGTGGGTCTCAGCAGCACACACGTGGGTGTACATGAAGCTGGCGTGCTTGTTGTTGTACTTGGTCGACACGAGTATCTTGCAATGACTTTCATGAGTTGCTGGCGTTGGTCAAACAGAGAGGAAAATGTTGGACTCTGTTGGCAATACCCCATTCATAGAATATGTAAATACGTCCAAGGAAACGCGAGGAACACGAGTGTCGGGAAGTGAGTTCCGTGGTAGAGGAAACTTCAGAGATGAATGTATCGATAGCAACACCTGTGAGCTGTTTTGGCATAATCCACAGCGAATCCAAGACATGTACAGACAAATGCGTATAGGTTGTGCGGATGTGGTCCGACAGCTGTCGTGCGTCGCACAGAACTTGGACATTTGATTTCTTCCTTGCGCACGCTCCGACACTAAACGAAACATTACATTTAAACGGGTCACATAAAAACGGGAAACCGGTTACTCTCGCGAAGGTCTACTGCAGTCGCGCGTGCCAAGCACAGGAGGACGCCCTTCGCGCGGCGGAAGCTAGCGCTCTCGGCAAGCTTGCCGGTATCAGCGCCGCGAGGGACGTGGACATTGACCTACTCCGAATGCTCCTTCGGCTGCTGATCACGAGGGCGAAAGCGCTTGGTCTGCGTGAACCGAGTGGCGACAGCGATAGCGCTAGCCGAGGCATAGACGAGGAAGGCGAGGGTGGCACGATTGGGGAGGTGAGGGTTGCGACGGGGCGGTTGTTTGCTTATTGAGGATTCTGACAACCTCGACATCGACATCGCTGTCTGAGTTTATAGCCCCAACGCCTATCATAGGTATAGGTTTGTTGTGTGCCTTGGATTTGTACTTTTCGTATATCTTATGGTGCTACTACCTCAAAACTCATGGACCTTAGCTACAGCGCGCCAAGTAAATTTCAGACAATGAGATTTTGTTGGGGTTCGAGTGGAAGCGGAAACGTGAACGCGACATGAGGTCGTGCCGGCGTCATTGCCACTCCCCCGGAGGGGAATGGTCTGTGTCAAGCAGGACTGCAAAACTGTGGCACGAAGTTCTTGAGGCAAGCGACCGTCCCTTCCGAGACCTTACCGTGCAATGACCTTGAGACCGGCCTAGAGATGAGTACGACGCTGATATTACATTCGGGAGCGACAAAAGAACGCTCCTGGGCAGAAACAAGGGCTAGTGTGAGCGTGTGACAGCACACAGGGAGGGTATCCCCATGACCCTCAACATACATCATCTGCCACCTTTGGGCACAAGAAGAGGAGCGCTTAATGCCAATACTAAGACCGCAGTTGTGTGCCGAAAAGAGTGCGATCTCCGGTGATGGTACAAGACTGACGTTTGAATTTGAAGTTAATTTTACCCCTGTACATTCGAGATTGCTACGCCGTTACGCAAGGCTGTTTAGCCTCGACGGATGATATCGAAGTCCTGGATGACATCGCAACAACGAGCACCCGTGAGGTCACTCCCTGCCTAAGTACCCATCTCCCGCCCCCCTCGGTTTGTTAACGCTACACCCCCGACAAATGAATCGAAGCCCGTCGGTGGCAGTCTCAAAGAAAGAGAGGTTTCAGGAAGAACAAGCAACTAGAGCTAAGAAGGATCGGTGGGTCCTACACTATATTTTTCCGGGTATGTAACAACCTGTACACGACGGCGGTGCCGCACGAAGAAATTTAGACTCGATCCGAATCTGGCTTTTCTTTGCTGCGAGTCTGCCCTGAACGCGTCTCCCATATATAACGGCAGTGCTCATGTGGTCTACTTTCTGGTCTATCCACAGAAGGTGCCAAGTCCACGTCCGACCATGCCAACAGCCCGCGCGTCATAACACCACAACTAAAAACGTGATGACGATGACCCACCGTCTTCCGCTGCTGCAGGGCTTGTTCCTGCGTCAGCAGTGGCACAACCTGTATGCTCTCATGCACCACCGGGAGGCCATGGCTCCGGAGTGGATCTCCGTCGTAAGGTAGGGCATCACGCTCTCTTTCTCTTATCTATCCGTGGGGTAACGTCCCGGCTTTCCACCTGGTTGTGCGAACGCACATCACGAGCACGTTGTCTCAACAAGAAGCGGATTGGAATCACGGTTTAGCCCTGCCATCCCTGAGTTCTACGCCTTTGATTCATTCTCTTTTTCCGTGCGTCCTTAGGGAATCGGGGGAGGATTTGTTGCACACTTTGCCGGAGTGGATTCGCTTCGACGTGGAGGAAGTGGTGCAGCTGGCCTGTCGAGTCAACGTGAACGCCCATGGCTTGAGGGACGACTCGGGGTCGAATCTCGTCATCGGTGTGGGCATGTTCCCGCTTGCGGCCATGATTAATCATGCGTGTAGGCCTAACTGCACGTTCGTGTACTTCGGTGAGACGCCGTTTCTGCCCTTAGGCATGTTTTTCGGAGTAAACTTGCATGGGTTTGCCATGCTACGTTAGATCGTCGCCTGCTTCTTGCTCTGTGACTAAGGGCCGTGGAAGGATGAGCCGCAATGGTGGAAAGCTTTTTCCTCCTGTCACTCGCTACACGTGGAGAACGGCCTACAACATGCATATTATTCCCACGCGTTGCGTCGGACACGACACCAAGGTGGAAATCTGGAGGTACGCACGCTGGAGCCGGTGTCTGCCGGGACAGAGCTAAGCGTGTACTACATCGACCTGCTTCAAAGCACCGCCGCGAGACGGCAAGAGCTTCTTACGTCGAAGCACTTCCTGTGCAAATGCTCCAGGTGACACCTATATGCGATGGAGCCCATCCCCCTGCCTCTCTCTCTCTCTCTCTCTCTCTCTCTCTCTCTCTCTCTCTCTCTCNTCTCTCTCTCTCTCTCTCTCTCTCTCTCTCTCTCTCTCTCTCTCTCTCTCTCTCTGTCTCTCTGGTACTTTGTATAGGGGTTTGCGAGCGAGGTGGCATCGAGTCTCATGCATTTTCCCTTGTCCGCTGCGGCTGTTCGGCACCATTCGAACGCGTTACACATCCCAAAATGATGGGAAGAACAACAATTTAGACTAAGCCTGTCAGATGCTTGGAAACTGTTCTGGAAGTTTCCCCCATGTGAAACCTTGCTTTCCACCGCGCTCCCCTCCCGAGACGTAAACGATACCTTGTGGAAACATGGATTGCACCACATTGCTTGGTTCGAGCACGCGTGCCCCTGTCTTTTTTTTCTTTCCAGGTGCGAGAATCCCTCGAGTATGGACGACTACCTCGACGGCGTGTGTTGTGCCGACTGCGGAGAGAGGGGCTGTCTCACGCCCACGTATGTCAGACGAGGGCCGTGATATCGAAGATTGTGGGATGAACCAATAGGGAAGGGGAGAAGGCAAAGTTGTAGCAGGGAAGTGTGAGCGGGACCACCAGCGGCGAGGCTTGGGGTTCGAAAGAGATACTATAATAGCTGGCAGACCGACATGGGGTTGGATCTGGATGGTGTGGGGCCGTTTTAGCGCTGGAAAAGGGCGTGAAAACTGGCGGAATACCCCCGTTACCTCTCATATCTCGCCCTGAACACCTTTCCGGTACACAACAGCCGAAACGACCCATCTCTCGTTCTACTGGACACACCTGTTGCGTGCACGAGCTGAACTCGATTGTACCTCTAGAGTTCCGAGGCGTTCCTCCGAAGCCCGCCTACACTACCTTCGTACCTTTTCGAAACAGTCGACTTTCCGTGTCAGTTCACCTACTGTAGCATGTGCTATCATCCACCGCCGTACCTACCCGCCAGATATAGTTCTTGATTTTTCCTCCACCAATCACAAGTGTTCCCTGTTCTTGTCGTCGTGGCAGCCCCCCGCCAAGCGCGGAAGACATCCTCGCGGCCCAATTGGCACAGCTCGGCGAGGGCTTGGCCGACGAGTCCGCGGCTGACGGAAGCGGCAAGGGCAAGGGCAAGGGCAAGGGCAAGGGCAAGACAAAGGGCGGCGGTGGTAGTACCGCTTCGCGACGTGAAAATTCGGTCAATCCCTCCGCCGCCTTGGGCGCGAAGGACGGCAGGGGGAACGGTAGCATGGCTGGTGGCGTCCGTGGCGGAAGTGAGAGCGTGGTGCAGAAGATGTACTGCTCTGCGTGTGGGCGGGAGTACCCGGGCACGACGGTCGAGGAGAGCGTGGCACGAGCCAAGGCCTCATGGTGAGTCGGACAGACAGACTCCCGTGTTATGCGTGACAAAGACATGTTAACAGGCAGTCTGATTTTTTTTTTTTGGAACCCAGCACAGACGGAGGAAGACTGCCAGCCAGGTGCTTATGGTGTGATAACCAGTGCAGGTGCTGTCTTTGGCCAAATCCCGAGGCTGAAAGCTTCCACACGCTGTGGCGCTGCGCGAACACGTTGGCCTCGGCTTGAGACCGGTTGCGAAGTGCTAGGCAGCAGTCGACAACCAGCCCTCAGGAAGGGTCTAGGGCTGACGTGTGAAGCGCGCCTTACCCTTGGCGACCAACCTTTCGTTCTCCACCACGTCCAGTTTGAACAATTCTTGTCAAACCCTTCATGTATCATACAACTTGACCTCGGTAAATAACCCCTTCCGCCAAAGCCAAGGTAACGGCCGTTCGTCGCCTAAGTAAACCCTACCAGGTAGGAGCTAAGACCCCCATCCTCGGAGCCCTGGCCAAGTCAAGTCCCCTTCCGTGACCGCCTTTGATTCGTCTGGTGCTTGCCCGCGTGTCGCTCCCCTCTCCGCAGGGATGCCGCTATGGCGGTCGTTAGGGCGAAAATGTTTTCTTTGGCCAGAAAGTCTCTTGAAAAGTGGCTCCAGGACTACGATGCAGGTGAGGGTCTAGCCTAGCTCCAACGTATGAGAAACAGTGGAGCCTGAACGGACGATGTTAGCTCGCCGGCTTAGGGAATGGTCCCCATGCCACCATACCGTAACCCCATTGTTGTGGCGGTTGCTTCGTCTGTTGAAAGTCAGTCGAATGAGTCTTGAGCCCCTCCCAGTGCCATCGTATTGCGGATATCTGGTATTCGGCCCGAAGTGTCGGGAGATGTATTTACACAGCATTCATAATGTGAATGTTTGACCTCGCACTTGCCAGTATCGGTTGGCTAGGTTAAGGTTATGAATAGGGTTAGCTCACACTTGTCAGTGTTGGTGGGCGGGAGCGTTTCAAGACTTGACCCACCTGTGGCTGGCGTAGAGCCAAGCTATTCTAGTGAGACAACTTCTCCATCCACACCCTAGAGTTGTTTGACTGCACGACTGGATGGAAGCGTATTCCATATTGCGAGTGCCCTCCCACCCCGTTACTTCAGCACGTTTGGAGCAACACAGCAGTACTACCGACTATGCCGTAACGTTTTTTTTTTTTTGCAGGTGCTGTTCTGCCGCCAACCGCGACCAAGAAAAAGTCGGTCAAGAAGGATAGGTTGAAGCTCCACCCGGCGAACGTCATGGTTGTGCAAACTTTCGTGACGCTGTCAAACTGCTGCACATTTGAGGAAGATCACGCGGCTAGTGCACGGTCGGTGGCGATAGTTAGCTGAACCAACCGGGCGCAAGAGGTTTCGTCCCCGAGTGTGTGTGCTTTGAATTTGCGTCGACCGCGCTCACCGGCTGACCAATGAAAATTCGTCAGTCTTGTCGCGGGATAAAAAACCGAGAACAGGCCTTCTAATCCAAGGATTCTACAGACAGCGTGTCTGTATTTCTTGTGTGATATCGTCCGATCTATTCTGTGCTCCAGTCTAGGCCTTTCCGTATTTGTTTGGATGCACCGGCGGTTTTTCTCTCCCTATACGCATGCGGTAGTTGCTCTCAGTTTTTTTACAATATCATAGAAGGGTTCACCGCGCAACGGGTCCTTCACTCTGTTTGAACTCACTATGCGTTTTCCACCTCCTTCCGTGGTTATTTTGAGTTTTGCATTCTGGAGAAATTCAAACCCTAACCCCTATGACAATGTCGACAGTGCAAGGATAAGAACACGAAGTTCCCCACAGCAAATCTTTGGGTACTTTACAATACCCACTGTCCGTCCCGAATCAATCACGCGCACAAGAACCCTCAAGGGCTTCAAGTCCAAGTTCAAAGCAAACGATCCAAGTTCGCGAGAGTGCATCGCCCTTCTGCGCGCAGGAGGCCGCCGAGCTTGGTGCTGCCGTGAGAGTCAGCAAGCACGACAGCAGTATAGGAAAGAAATGAGTCGCGACAACCATGCACGGACGGCTTTCGGCAGTCTTATCTTCTTCTCCCCGCAACGGCAGGCACTTGCGACGGGCTGTCTCGGCTATGGAGGCGGTGTACCCGCCCAATTACCCCGAGCTCGGAGACTTTCACGCCGCGCTGGCAGACGTGAACGACGCCTTGCTACAGAAACGCGGCCAAACCTTGCCCAAGAAGTCGAGAAGCCAGGCGGTTAGGTGAGCGGAGTCGTTCTGCACACTTGCTTGTCGCAGGTGGATAAGAGTAATCCGCTGCTTAAGAAATTGGTCTTGCGTGTTGCCCTTACCGCTTGCTTCTGGTTGGAAGGTAGGTGGATTCTCTAGGTTGGATTTTGTTTGGTCTCATCCTCCTCGATTCTCGTGCGGTTGAAGAACCAAGGCACGCCGTTGTTTGTGCACGCCGTTGTGCCTGCCTATCGTACCATGGAACCGTGTCCTACCCGCTACTTTGGCCGCTAACCTGCTGAACGGCTGTTGTTGCTCTTGCCGTGCTTCTTCACCCTTTGAAGGACTACTACTTGTACTTGTACTTCTGTGCCCTTCCTTACGGTATGCGTTTGCGGGGCCGCTCTCCCCACGACATGTCCTCGTAAGCAACCACATGGCAACGCCAAATGTATTTTTCGGTTGGTTTTATAAGCACACACACACACACCCTTCCAGGGACCTTGATTTTTTCCCGCTGGCACTGCCGTCTTTCCATTGGTCAGCCGGTTAGCGCGGTCGATGCTAATAATAAAAAAACACACACACACACACATGCTGCCCCCTCACGGGGTCCCAGTTCATGGTAGATAGAAGTGTTTTGTGTTTTCAACCGCACTAAGACTGACGTCTTTTCATTGGTCAGCCGGTTAGCGCGGTCGATGCTAATAATAAAAACACACACATTCACCACCGCAGGACAAGCGACAAAAGACTGACGCCTGTTCATTGGTCAGGCGGTTAGCGCGGTCCATGCTGCGTCAAGTTGCGCGCTCACACACAAGTGCTGGAGTCGTGAGAGCGTAAATATTTGACAACGTGTTGTTTATCTCACCAAGTGCGGCAGCAGTGCCTCATTTCTTACACTCCCGCCGTCCACACGCTGCCCGTGGCCACGACTGGTGATTCATTCTCGCTCAAGCAGCGAACGAAAGCAGGCACTGGAGAGAGCGGCGACGATTAGGTCGGTATGTTTGGGAAAAGACCACCCAGCCACGAGGGAAGCAGCTAGAGCGTTGGATCGAGTCACCGGGTGACGGTATGACGCGCACTCGTGATGGTCGTTGTTGGGTGGAGAGCAACGACGACCTTGACATGCAGCCTGGTACGGGAGTAATGTACGATGCTCAGAAGGAGGGACTTGACCAAAATGCGACATGATCTACTTCCTTCCCCTTGGTGCGTCATGGAGTTGGCAATGGCCAGACTTCGGCGATGGCGCGACAGTGCTGTGGAGTCGGCGGGATGCGCGTAGCACTTTCCTGATTGGTTGGCGATTTTTCCGTCGTAGATGAGGTGCTTCGTGTTCGCTGATTGGTTGGGCTTGTTGTTGTCTTCACATTTAAAACAGTTCCGATCTCTCTCTACCCAGTACCTTCGTATGTCCGTACCGATCCAACACTCGACGCGGTCGATTCCCGTGGTCACAGGTTAACTTACCCTAGAAAGGTACACTCAAATAACCTGACCCCGAGGGGTCCGCAAGTCAACAGAAATCAACGACAGATATTCTGGATTCCTCCACTCCCTCTGCGCGTTATGCGAGATAACAACTGAGACTAGGAGTCACCATCACGGGCCGGAGAGANGAAAGGTACACTCAAATAACCTGACCCCGAGGGGTCCGCAAGTCAACAGAAATCAACGACAGATATTCTGGATTCCTCCACTCCCTCTGCGCGTTATGCGAGATAACAACTGAGACTAGGAGTCACCATCACGGGCCGGAGAGAATGAGGTACACCCCCTTGGTTCAATCTGGACTATTCACCGTCGTAGATAGGGTGCTTCGTGCTTGCTGAATATTCACCGTGGTAGATGAGGTGCTTCGTGAGCGCTGATTGTCGTATATATTTTTTTTTCTCACATCATTGGATTCTGTCGTCTGCCCCTCTGGCCCCTATCCTCCACCTTACTGTAGCTAGGCGACTCAACCGGGGTCACTGGACCCCCTCCTGCGGTTCCTGCCTGAGATATTTTTATCGCGAGAAGGGTACAGCAAAACCCTTCCCTCGCGACTTGTAAAGTCGATAAATTTACTAACAACGCTTTGCAGCACATCGCTTCCAGCAGAGACCAGAATTTGACGAGTGAGAAAAAACCCACTCTGTCGGGACTCGAACCCATGCCCTGGCCCTTAGCAGGCTGCGAGGTTACCCACTGGACCACCGGGACGACCAGGGTCGATCCCGGACTGTTCACCGTGGTAGATTACGTGCTTCGTGCTCGCTGATTGGTTGGAATATTCACTGTCGTAGATGAGGTGCTTCGTGGGCGCTGATTGGTTGCAGTAACTCCGTCGTAGATTTAAGTGCTTCGTTCGCGCCGGTGCTGACCGAAACGACCAGAACAGCGGCGTCGACGACGGCCACTGTTTTGCTTCTCTCGCGCCGATATTGTCGAACGGTACACTTTGGGGTCGTTTTGTGCCAGTTGTACGTCGGCAGCAGCAGCAGTCGGTGTGGCGGAACAAAGAGCCCGGTGTCCTTCCTTCTGCCTGCTTCGCGTATTGGCTCAAGCCAGTCGCGCACGCGGGGGTAATATGTTGACGTTTTTCTGGGGTGTCGCGGAGGTTGTAGCGGGTCAAGGTTTGGTTGCCGAAAAAGGTACAAGAGACTCTTGCTAGGGCCTCTGGATATGAATGAACTTCGATTGTGACAAGCGTCCTCAAGCATGGACTCCTCTTGTTGCTATTCTCGTAACCGTCAGTCTATCGCAGCCACGTTGGTAGCGAAGCACGGAGAATGGGCAAACGATACAGTACATACATGCCCCGGTGGTTCTTCTCCACCTCCTCAGGCGTTCACAACCGAGCTAAGCTCCGGAGCTCCGTTGCTGCCGGCAAACATGGAACGAGAACCGACCCAGCTTCGGCAAGGAAAACACAACATTTTCGGTCTTTTATCGCGCATTGACTGGCTTAAGCCACCTTCGCAAACCCTTGGGATACAAACCTCGAGCTCTATGCATCTATCTCATCCTACGATCTATGCTCCTTCCAAAAAACGTGTCAGTCGAGTTTTTCCACAAAGGTTTGGCCACTACAGCAGCAATACAGCATCGTGGCGGGGTCAAATAGCTGTTGAAACTGCACCTTCATCCGGAGGAGAGGTGTTCCTCCTCAACCACGTTTGTTAGGTGATCTGTACCACGTTGCACCGCTTTGGGCGTTTATGTTACCTGGGTGGCTCGCTTGCCAGGGAAACCTCCTTATTGTAAAAGTTCATTTAGCTTCTGAGCGAGCCGGCGTGCAACCTGACGCTCACAGACCTCCACCAGCACTTACGTTCCTGGGGTACATGCAGCTTTTTTTTCCGTTTTCCACACTTACTTGGATGACAATAACAACACAACATAGAATACGACAATGACGCGCAGATTGAACATAAAAAACACTTGGTTCGGCACGTGTGTTCCAGTCAAGACAAACGCGGTCACCACACAAATGAATATCCGTCATTACACAAAAAAATACCACATGGTACCCACCAACAATCGTGCAATACCAAACAAAAAGCTGTCGCCGCCGAATCGACCTGCTGCGACACCGACGCACGTTGGACGCGACACGCAAGCAGACCACAAGGATGCGGCGCGGCCGTGCTTGCTTGTGACCACGCCAACTTGTCATGAAACACAATGCACGCGAAGAGCACTCTGCACGCAACCTTGGCGAATAAAAACCAGGGGAGTTGGAGGAAGAAGGACGGAAGTCACTCCGGGCCAAGGGCTGCAAGGGATACATGCCTGCAGCGACAGCCCCGAACGCCTCCTTTCTTTTTCGTGACACAGAAAGAGCTTTGGTTTTCTCGGCCGTTACAAAGCTGGAATTTGCTTCGACGCGACCTCCGAAAAATACGAGTAGGGAGGAACGCGCGGAAACACTACTGGACACCAGCAGTTTACCTTGCGAGAGGCGTCGACAAGGCAGTCATGGTTCCATGCGTGCTGACACCAGAAACAAAACGGAAGGACGGAGTCGCCTCCCGCACGAAAAAAAAAGGGGGGGGGAATGCGAAACAAAGAACATTATCGGGATACAATTTCGAGAGCGGTTCGAAGAAGAGCTAGCTACCGAATAGAGGCCCAGAGCAGTTACTAACGCGAACAAGATGGGCAACGACAACGACTAACCACAACAACAAATCATCACAGAAGAAACAAGGCTCGGAACATGTTACACATCGCACATCGAATTCGACAAGAAATTGGGGGTGTACATGAATAGAAATCCCCATGTCGCACGCCTACAGGAGAAAAATGACACCAAATGAGAAAGAACATATCCATTTCCATGACGAAACAGCACGAACAAACAAGATGACCCCCCCCCCCCACAAACAGATAGCACAAAACATGGTCCACACACGGACTACCGCCGTACAGGCGAGTCAGCTGCTCAGCAAACCCGCCGCATGCTTTCAACCACCCACACGTCGAGGCACAAAATTACCGCCTTGCGTGGCACATCACACGTCGAGGTAGCAGATCACAACCACCTACCACCGCAACATGTGACTTAATCACCTATTTAACACCGCTTGGATATAGGAACATCGTTTTATCGCCAGGATGACCATCCTCGGGGTGGCGTACCTACGGACATGTGCAGGTAGAACGCCAACCTCCCGGTAAAAATACATGAGGCCTTCAGCCCGCGACCACCCATCAACTCTAAACATAAGCGGAGGGGGGGGGAGCATAGGCACTGCGCCCTTCCAAAACAACAGCATCACATGAAGCATCACATGAAGCATCACATATAAACACTACACAACCAGCCACTCATCGGCCGAAATGCCTTTTCAAAATAAAAACGCTCGCCCGCAACGACATCATGCAAACCAGCGGCACCAAAAATCCGCAGATCAGATGGCGATCGTCCCAGAGATACGACAAAGGTGGACAAGCAACTCACAGAGAAAGAAAAAAAATCAGCTCGTGCCGCAACGCTCAGAGCGTCCACACGCTGCTTACTACTTCGACCGTTTCGGCTGCCAGTCTCACACTCTGCTTTGTTCCTGATACGGACGCGCAAAACGCCTTCTTATTTTCACGGCAGTCGACAATGTGATAACCAAGACAAAGGTTCAACATGCAGACTATCCAGCATTCCGCAGTTTAGACAAGCAGGTTAGTACAAAACAGCGCCGCCACGCACGTGGCTCTTGACTTGCACCTACCTCAACATCATACTTGCCGCCACCGGCGCTATCATCGCCGCGACATCTGTCAACCTGACAACAGTGACGTCATTGTTGTTCGTCAACCTTCAGCAGGGGAAACGTCCCCTCACGGAACGCGCGATCCATGACCCACGCGCCGCTCGACACCGAAACACCACAACAAACGCCAACGAAGCACAGCATGTCACGTCTACGACATCTACAACATCTACGATTGTTCAATTCGACCTACACCACTACCCCCTTCATCAGTAATCTAGCGCTGCTTGGGTGTTGCAGAACGCGGACAGCTGGCACTTCCGGCGCGAAATGCCACCTCTCACGCAACATACTACATACTACTAGACATCGAACCATCTATGCTATCGATCGCTCAACATGGAGTTGACGTGTTAGTGGTAGAGACCCGCAACGCACGACACCAAACCCTGGCCATGCAAAGAAGGAACGGGGCTATTTAAGAAACGAAAGGAAAAAAAACTTCTATCCCGATTAGACTATTGGTCGGGGTCAGTAGTCACGCTTGCCTACAACACTACATTAGCCACACACAATCTGCCACCCCCTTGATCCATTCGGTCTTTGTCCCCCGCACAATGCTTGAGCTTCCACACCTTCCTCTCTCCAACGCTAGCACCGAAAACAGAGCCGAGACTTGCAGCACACAAGACCATTCACCAGCATGACATGTCGTCACCTTTGTCAAACTCTCTATTGAACGTTCACCGGTCACAACCGACATCACTGTGAGACTCGCTCATCCGCTGCCATGACCCATTCACGATCCCTTTCGCTATAATCGCTTTCTCACGCCTCCCCTACACTAAGACAAGCCAACAGGACACACGGAAGGACGATGTTGTCCACCTGAAAACGCCGACCGATCCATCAATCCAAGAGCGCAGATATACCAACGCCGACCGAGGTAAGAGCGTCCAGTCCCAGCACCAACGCGCCGGGGGAGGGGGGAGAAAGTTGACGTCGAGAGAGAGAAAGAGAGAGGGAGAGACGAAAAGCGAGAGGATGAAGGGGGGTATCGACCTTAGTTGACAGGAGACAGGAATATGCCTTAAGGGAACTAATGGCTCCGGTGGGGTGCACATATAGCAAGTAGCATCGTAGCACAATAACAGAGGCGCGTATTCGTTCGTACGACCCGTCTTCTATCACTTGGCCCTTCAGGCGTGACCTTGATTCGTGTTGGGACGGTTACGGCCACAACGGCTAAGAAAACGCACTCCCACAAAATCGCAAATTCGAGTGAATACAGACAGACGTTGGACATCCGGTGTGTTCCCGTCGCAAGGAGCAAGCCGAGACATGAAAGAGCTTCGGCTGTCATGGAAGGACAACGGAAAACGCGTCCATGTGCAGGGAGGGGAGACGAACAACAATTGCGGGCGGGAATAGGATGGGAGAGTGAGAGCGTCTGACAATGGACACACGTTCATTTTTGTCCTGCTCGAAACATACAACGCCGCTGGAGAGATACCCCGCCCGCGATCCTCCCTTCCTCCCTACCACCCCCCCCCTCCACCCGGTTTTGCCATCGGGATTGGGTTTTCGTCTCTTGGCAAAGACGTTGTAAAACAAGCCAATTCACTTCGTGAACTCGGCAACCAGGTTACCGGTTTTTTTTTACCTCCGTTTTTTTTTTTGGCGGTAACCATAATGAATGGTGGTCGAGTAGATCATGTTGTGCGGGGTGGAGAACCCTCACTCCGCGCAAGGGGGATGATCTCACCACGTTGTGTGAAAATGGTCACGCACCCTCGAGGCAGTTACACAGTGCTTACAACTGTCTCAGGAAGTGAAAGCACCAGAAAGTAAAGAAAGTCATACGCAGCTGTCATCCATACGCAAGGGAGTAACCATAAGATGCCGAAAACCCTTAGCAGGATGCAGCGCACCCTTCATGCGACTCGCCGAATATCTCACGGCGCTTCGCGCTTGGTGTGAGAGCCTGATGACTACGGCATGCACGACTATGAGTACACCTCCCCCCGATCTGTTGTTGTCCTGCATTGATTCGTCTTCATGTTAGGATGGGAACAGAGAGAATAGACGTGCGCTACACCACATTAACTCCAAGTGAAACCGAGCATTGTTCTCTCTGGGCTCTAAGGCGTGTCGAATGTTGAGCTGCTAGCAACCGAACGACTTTCCCGTTTACAAGGTGACCCTTTGGTCCAACACAAAACAATCATGCACTACTGTGTGCATATCATACTTGGAAGTACTTCGGAGGTGGGTTAGGTTTCGAGTTTTGAGAAATTGGCTCCTACCATTGGGCCTCTTGCTCTTGCTCTCTCTTATCTTACCTTTTGTTGTTTCGGAGTGATACTTAACACCAGTGGCAGGAAAATATCTGGATACTGCCGGCTTGCTTGGAACAGCTGGATTTTCTCTGTCTCAAAAGACCGGAACGAACGGGTGCACGACAGAGTAGACAGGGCCAAAACTCAGTCCGAACATAAAGACAACAACGAAAAAAAACACGAAACTCTGCGTACACACATACCTGGGTCGTGAAGGCCTCCATGAGGCTCGTCAGCGCCACCGGCCACGCTAAAATCTCGGCCGCTCTCCTCCACCCCTCCCCTCCGCTCTCCTCTCCCCCTCTCAACCCCAACAGCACAAACCACACAAGCAGCAGGGTCCCCAGGGTGCTCAAGAACACGGAGGCCGAGCCTTCCAGCGTGCGGCGTGAGCCCGGCCAGTGCAACCGTCCCACGCTCGACCCAACTATAGCGCCCTGATCATGGCAACAGGCAAACGACGGTCATGATGAACAAATCAATCCATGAGTCCGTGAGTCGAAACACGAAATAGCTACTGTAGGACGGGGGTACTGATGGCAACTAGGGGGATTTCGGAGGAGGCACGAACAACGGGCATGCAGCATTAGCAAATCACGGCCAGAACGCGCCATCACGACAAACTAAATCACACACAAATGTTTTCACGGTTCACCGCTAACATTGAAAACAGTGGAAGGTTTCAACACAACAACGATGCCAAACAAATTAAACCCTGAGTTGACCGCCATGTTTACCCTATTCATCCTTCGCATGTTCGTAGGCCGTTCAGAAAAGGTGAAATGAAAGTTCGCGGCACCTACGAAAGCAGGGAAAAAAAAAGGCCATCGCGTTCGCTGCCTCTCACCATCGCGTCCCCGATGCCAAGCACAACAACACCAGAGTAAGGAAATAGCTGGAGGACACTGCCTTGACCATCACCATCGTGGCTGCCCATGAGCCTGGGTGGATATTGACGGGAGGGGGGGATGGGGATCCTAGAAAAATCACAATTGAGTTGGATGCTGCGGGTGAGGCAAAAAATCTCCCAGCTGGTTAAGGGTAGTCCGTTCGATTGGCATGCCTAAGATCGGGTCGCGGCCATTTTCTTTGGCACACGTTGGTCTCGCATCTAATCCGTTTGGGGCCATCAGCTCTCCTTCGCTTGATGTGGTGACGGACAAGGACCAAAGGTCGACACACGACGTCTGCTTCTCTCCAACAAGCGCACAACTCAGCACATAAGCTAGAACAAAACACCACAAGACCTTCGGATCAGGCCCAAGGCTGTTATGACAGCTGCGGTGGTGGTGACAACGGTGGTCAAGTACAACAACAGCCGTCAGTATTGCGCGTTCCGGCCGCATGCTGCTGTAGCGTTGCAGCAATACGTGCAAGAACGGCCATGACGACAACACCAGTCGGTCGGCAGCCCATGGGTGTTTCTCTACACAGCAAGCACGACAGCCGTTTGCCCCAGCAACCTGATTCATCAGCAGCAACGTCATCACCATCACCAACACCATCAACAACAACATAAAGAGAAGCAAACACAACCATCACCATGAAACAACATCGAAAGACAACAAAAACAACATTACAAAACAATCAGTGACACGACTACTAGCACCACCAACTGTCGAATCCCAGCCTTGTCACGCCAAACCCCTCACCCGGATAGCCAGACAGGAACAGCGCATCCCACCAGCAAGAACAGGTGCGTTACCACCACGCATCCCCCATCCCTTGCGTCCAAAAAGCCTTCGTAGTAACCGTCCATCACGGAGGCCACGGGGGGGCATCCGGTGCAGCGCAAGAACTCAAGAGCCAACAGCACCCCCAAGGCCGTACCCAAGGCCAGGGACAAGAAGTCGGGTTCGAGAGCGATCGCCGGAACGAACATGGCAGTCGCCAGAAAGTGGAACAGCTTCCTGGATGTGGTTTTCCTGCCGGAAAGCGGGAGTCGTCTCGACAGCCACGGGACCGAGGGAACCACAACTGCTAGCGCCAGCACCCACCCCGCCACCAGCAGGGGACGGTTCCCACCCATTCCCTCCCCAATACCGCCTTCGCCCTTCATCTCCGACCACGCCCACCGAAACACGCCTGCTGCCACAGCGCCCCCTCTCCACCCCTCTGTCGCGTGTTTGTCTGCCCATGATTGGATGAATAGACCCGCGCGCGCAGCGGTTTCCGCCGGGTCGGAGTAGCCCATGGAGTAGAGGGCAACCCAAGCTGCCGGGTTTGAGTATCCCAGGAGGGGGGCCGTCCAGTAGGTGAGCCATGACGCGGTGCCGCCCGCCAGGACAGTGTAGGTGAAGGCGCAGCTTTGCCATGGCGGTCGGGAAGACCGCCATGCTGCCCGTCGTAGCGATTGACAAATAAAAAACCAATTGGAAGGAAAGATGAGAAACACAAGCGGCACAACAAAGGGGTCATTGAGATTGGGGCAAGAAAACACAAGAAAAAAAACGCCAGTAAACAAGAGAGCGAAAATCAATCATTCTTACGGGATGAGCAGAAACCACCTCGTGTAAATTGCCTATGTAGATCCTTGTGTCCATCCCCCCTCGCCTTTGTGGTTACCAACTCCATACCTGCAGGTGCCAGTGCGCGAGCCGAAGCCAAAGCCAGGCCGGTGGCGAGGGTCCCTAGAATGCCGGTTTGAACCACTATCATGGTCTCTGATCGAGGCGGAACACGTGGGAACATCCTCTCCCACGTGCTTGCGCTTGATCCCACGACCCACAACTGCTTGGCGTTGTTTCGGGAGGGGGGGCAGACGTACGCGCAGGCCGGGAAGGAAAATGGTATCGAATGGCATGCTATGGGATGCTGTGGTGAGGGGGGCGAGGATGCTACCACATTTCTGTCGGATCTGCCGCACCTGTTGTACCACGTTCCTCAAGAACCTCAAGCACCATTGCCTTGTGTCGACGAATCCGATTGCTCGTGGTTTGAGTCTCTCCCTCCTTGCCATTCTTGAAGCCGCTCACCATTATCAAAGGGTATAGCAAACCAGCTACGTTAGAGTCAACGTCGGCCCCGTTAGTCGTTACCCGGCTTGACACAGCAGAGGACACTCATTGCTTTAACTTCTCCCTCGTCTGGCCTCACGCCGCCCTCCTTACATGTACACATGTACATATCCTATCACTTCTTCACCAATTTGTGAACCACTTCAAGTTCTGCGTTTGGCTCTTTACCACAAATACAGGTCCCTCGAATTCCCCTTGTGACACTCCGGACTGCCTTCGCGAGGACAACACTGAAATAGAGGGGGGGGTTCGTAACCCCCACTCGAACCCGTAACTCGTAACCCGTAACCCCTACAAAACCAATCGCAAACACCTCGCGTAGGCTAGTGAACACCAACATTCCTCATCTTCCAACCATGTCTACGTCAATGTTGTAACCCATTTCACCTCTTGGACGGTGTAAAGGCAGGCATCTACCACCCAAAGCGAGAGGGCATGGGTAAGCACCGCCGCTTCCCCGGCCCTCAAAGACAGCCGCCGCATCTGCCGCCCCCTGTGCAGGTCGAGCGCCCTGGCGAGAGGGAGAGGGTTACAGCAAGAGCATGCAGAAGCGTCATCAAGCACTAACCAGCATTGGCGGCTCGTCCCAGAGGTGATCCGGCGAAGAAAACATGGGCCAAAAGTTAAAACTTCAACCAGGTAGAGGGTGACATCGGCCGCAAAAGCTCTTGGTGGAGAAACCACAACAACAACAATGACAAGCGCAGCAGCATCCAGCACCAGCGACGAAAAACAATGCTACCGGTGACACGAGCATCGGTGGCCACACAGCAAGCCAGCATTGAAAACCCAAGGATCCAGGCCCTCCTCCCCTCCTGACGGGTTGTTGGTCGCCTCTTGCGATGCTAAACCAATCCAATCCTGCCACCTTGGCGCTCCTGCTCTCCTACCCTTCTGCCGCCCGCGCTACTTTCGCCACCCTATCTCTTTCCTTTTCAGCTGCCGCCTCCTCCGCCACCTCCACCCGACTTCCCACTTCCCTCACTCCTGCTGTAAAAGCCGCCGCCTGGTCCTGACACTGCCTTTCGAGAAATGTTCTTGCTTGTGCGGGTCCCTTCCTGTTGCCTCAAACGGTACTCGGGAGGCTCGGCGTAGAAACGCAGTTGCTCTGGCTATCCTACAAGGTATGGATAACATGTAACGCATAGGATAACCAGCTGCGACAACGTTCTGATGCCGAGAGGGTCGAGTATTGTACAAGGCAAACAAGATGGACCCGCACAAGCAACAAAAATTTCACAAGGCAGCGTCAGGACCAGGTTGCGGCAGCAGCAGGAGCGGGAAATCAAAAGGTGGTGGGGGAGGCGGCGGCCGCTGAAAAGGGAAGGGATCAGGTGGCGAAAGCAACAGCAGGGTACTGTGGGAGGGCGGGAGCGCCACGGTGACAGGATTGGATTGGTAGCGCCAGCATCGCAAGAGGCGAGAGGCAGCCAACCACCGGTCAGGAGCACCTGGACAAGATCTAGATGTTGAGTGCGGAAGGACAACACCCGAATGCTTGCCAGGTGTCCGGCAACAATGATGCACGGCTATCACGCCGCACTGCACGTTACACCCTAGGTTGGTTGGTATCAAATCACCTTCTGAAGACGTCGTATACGACGACGCACCACAGCGGGAGTAGCGGTCTTCTGCAGCACATCAAGCACCCCGCAGCTATCGCAGCCAGCCTTGTCGGCGCAATACCATGCGACAGACGACGCCACATCCGACAGACAGGGACGGGTGTCAAAACATTGGGTACAAGGAGAAGACAGGGGACAAACTCAAGCTCATCACATCCGCCAAACCGATCGCCCGGAAGCGCACATGAGACAAAACGACCATGGCTCGGGTCAAACCTCTCACTCGACACTCAAGCTTCCTACCCGTCTCATTCGAGATCAAACCTCTTTCACCTCTCTCATTCGGCGGTTAAGACGCAAACGATGCTGCTCGGCTCTGCCGCTTCGATTGAGCCTCGTCGTCTACGTGATTTATATTCAGAACATGTCGCATTCTACGCAAGTCAGACCCAGTCTGATGCGGCCCGTACTCACCCACTCTGTTCGGGGCCAGTCGAAAGAAAGTTCCGTACAGTCAAAGTCCACAGAGCAACATAAGGAAGAGCTCGTCAGCACCCCCACACCGGTCCTTGACCTTGACCTTGACCTACCTCAGCGGTTGGCTCGACAGCAGACGTGAGAACACCGTGGGACTTGACCGCCTTCTGCCCGTCCCACGAATAACCCTTTGTATCGCGAATAGCACCTGTCCAAACGAAAGGGCCGAGGGTTGGGCGGGAGGTGAACTCACCGCGGAGATCGTAGCCAGTTACTGTACGCACACACACGCTCTCGAACCTGTTCATTCCCCATGACGGACTAGGTGAGGGGTCGAGCTTCGTCCGACAAGACTCGTCGGGGGGGACGGGAGAGGGCCCGTTCTGTAGAGCAAATAGAAGTACTTGACACGAACACGAACCATTTCCAGACGAATTGCTGTGATTGGTCTACAGCAGGCCAGAACGTTGATTCCGCAAGATGAGCAAAACACTCTGGCTTGTCCACGTAGCCCGTCACGAAAGCACCGATCGCAGGTGGTGCGGGAAAAGATATAGATTCAGGGCAGGGAAGCGAGCAAAAGGTACAGTCGACCCCGCTTAAATGACGCTCGCCTTAAAGAAACTCCCCACTCAAAGGAAACTTGCGTTGCTGAGCACCGGGGGCCCGGCAGAATATACGATAATGGGGTAACCCCATTTTTCTGCCGCGTACCCCCCTTTTTGTGTGTCCTGCGGGCCTGCGGGCCGCTCATTGGACGAACCACGCACCACAGCGAGTGCAGAAGTAGCGACGCACAGAGAGCAGAAGTAGCGAGCGGTCTGCTGCTGCAGCTGCAACAGGGTGTTGGTATGGATAGATTCCTCCCATCTACCGGCGGTCCATCTGATGCCGCCAAAAAAGAAGTCGTGCATAACCTCGTTCCACACCGAGGGCGAGGTTACCTCTCGCTTGGAGGACGTTCGATCCTACAGATAGCGCCCGCAGTTAAGAAACGTCAAAATCGGTTCGAGCCTCACCAATCCCTCCCTTCTTTTGGGTCGAAGTACCGGCCCAAGTCGTCCATTTCGTAAATGGCATTTCTTCTTCCTTTGGACTGTCGCATCCTCCCGATTCTCTTATTCTTTAGACTACAGCAAGTGCTTCGTATTTTCTTTTTACTGTCTTTTATCTCTGAGGACAATCCACACCACCAAGCCCTCAAGAGAGGTGGTGGAGAGTGCCATCAAACCCGTACAACAGCGGAGAGCATATGGTTGTCCGCGATGTGTGGCAGTATAACAGTACAGCACTCACTGTGAACAGCAGGGGCGCGGGGGGGCGGTGGGGGGGG